ATGGAATCTCACTCCAAATTTCCAAATCCTGGTCTTGTCACCTCCAGTACTCAGACCTGATGAGCTGTCACATAAGACTGAACTCTAGAGGGCTGCATCTCCAGCCCCAATCCAGATGCCTCCTTTCCTTGTCAGAACATTGGGCAGGTGGTATAAGGAGAGTTCTGACACTTGTTTTATGTGTGAAATCCTTCTGGACATAGGGACCCAGGGCAGAAGTTATAGCTCTGCCTCTCAGCATCTGCCACTTACTAGCTGTGTTACCTCAAGTAAGTGGCCCAACCTCTCTGAGTCTCAGTTTCTTCATCTGTACAGAGGAGATAATGATTGATCTTTATCTTCTAGGATTGCCTTGAAGATTCACTGAAATGACACATGTAAAGCACTTAGTCCACAGGGTAAACCTTCAGACATGAGCTACCATTATTGTCCTACTTTTGTACTACAAATGAAGAAGTGCTATGTGCAGGAGATTGGCTTTAGAATGGGAATATGATCGCTAATAGCTGCCATTTGTGATATACTTACTGCATGATAGATGTCTCAATATGTACTCCTCACAACTCCTTGCAGATAAAGAATCCAAGGCCCAAGAAGTTAAATCATTTACCAGGAACACAGGTCATCAGGGTTTGGCACCTAGTCTAACCACTGCTTTACTCTGCCTCTCTGAAATGATATGGGAAACAGAAAGTAAAGGGGCCTTTCTGATACGTTTAAAAATATTTGCCTCAAATCAATGCTGAGGGGAATAAGAGGAGGAATGTGGCTTTTAGAAAGTGCTGGGAGCCGGCTCGGTGACTCAGCCTGTAATCCCGCACCTTTGGGAAGCTGAGGTGAGTGGATTGCCTGAGCCCGCGGGTTCGAGACCCGCCTGGGCAGCGAGACCTCATCTCTACAATAAATCAAAAAATCAGCTGGGCGTGGTAGCGCATGCCTGTAATTCCGGCTACTTGGAAGGCTGAGGCAGAAGGATCGCTGGAGCCCGGCAGGTCGAGGCTGCGGTGGCCGGGAGCGGCCACTGCACTCCAGTATGTGTGACAGAGTGAGACTCCAACTCAAAAAAATTAAATTAAAAAAAAAAGAAAGTGCTGGGGAATGACTTACATTAAACAGTTCAGTGATTTTTCTGGGTGGTAGGATTATGAAACATATTCCTTGCTGTTGTTCTATATAGTCCAAGCTTTCTAGTTTTGACTTATTACCTAGTAGTGGGAGGGGATATAAAAGTCTACCCTGAAACAGGAAGCCTCTTTTAAGCTAATATAAACCCATTTGAACAAGTTATAGGGCTATACTCATGATTTGAACAATATTCCCCAAATGGCAACATTTCTGGAAAACTTGAATGAAGCATCTTTATCTTGGGACACCCTAAGCACTATGCTGAGACCTGTGAGGCAGTATTCTGCCTAGTCTAGCCCATGGATTGAGGTGTAGTAGAAAGGACTGTTAACTGGGAGACCTGTGTCTTGTTCCTGGCTCTAGCACTTGCCTGCTGAGAGACATTGGACCAATTGCTTAATCTCTCTCAGCCTCGGTTTCCTCTTCTGTCACATGGTATAATAAAAACCTACCCTTCCTACCCAATTAGGTAGGTGTAAAGATGACTGATACTAATAGGTGCAAAAAATGATAGTCCCATCCCCAGGTAGAGGAAAATTCCTTGGGCAGCCAAGGGTCTAGAGAGCATTCCCAGAGAGTGGCAGGGTCTGCTGGTCCAAATGGAGCATGAGAAACTCATTCCACTGACTTCTGGTGAAGCATATCATTTCATGGGGACCAGCAAATCCCACCTGTACCTCTCAGGTTACCCAGAGGTTCCCACCCTCTGGGGGAGTCTAGGTGGCAGTTATTTTTTGTTTGTTTGTTTGATTTTTTTAGCAGTTGCTCTAGCATTTACAACTTGTATCGTGATTTATTACACTTTGCTTCTAGGCAGTATTATACTACATTTTTCACATATAAGAATCATTCTGCAGTATACTTATTTTGTCCCTCTCAATATTCATGTTATTGTTGTATAATTTTACATGTGCTATAAACATCATAATACATTTTTCAGCCCTCTTCCTGTCTGTGTTTTGATTTGAATTGTTTCTATTACCTTGTCAAATTCACTAATCTTTTATGTGTGTCTAATCTGCTGTTAATCCCATCCCATGAAATTTTATGTTAGATATTATATTTTTGTGCTGAGCACAGTGGCCTGTGCCTATAATCACAGCACTTTGGGAAGCCAAGGCAAGAGAACCACCTGAACCCCCAGGAGTTGGAGGCTCGGGTAATATAGTGAGATCTCGGCTCTACAAAAAAAAATTAACTGGGCGTGGTGGCATGCATCTATAGTCCCAGCTACTTAGAAAGTGGAGATAGAAAGGTCACTTGAGAGGCCAGGAGGTTGGGGCTGCTGTGAGCCAGAATTGTTCCACTGCATTCTAGGTGACAGAGTGAGACTCTGTCTCAAAAAAAAAATTATATTTTCATCGCTAGATATTCTATTTTGTTCTTTTTTATATCTTCCATTCATTCCTCATTCTGCTCATGGTTTCTTCAACTTATTGAAAATATTTAAAATAAATATGTTTTAAAATCCTTATTTGTTAATTCTGTGATATCTGACACTTCTGAGTATGCTTCTATTGACTAACTTTTTTTTCCTAGTTATGGGTCACACTTTCCTGCTATCTTGCATATTCAGGACTTTTTATTGAATGCTGATATTATGAATATTATATTGTTGAGTGTCTGGATTTCATTGTCCTCGTTTAAAGACTAATGGACTTTATTCTTTCAGGTAATTAAGTTACTTATTGGTCAGCTTGGTTGTTTTTAAGGTTTGTTTTTAAGTTTTGTAAGGGCAGATTTAAAGTAGCCTTGACTCTAGAGCTTGTTCAGCCTGTCATTATGGCATGAGCCTTCTGAGGTCTCTACTGAATGTCCCAGACATTCAGCAAGGACGCTCCACTCTGGCTCTTTGGAACTTGAATATCTCTCAGCTTTGAATGAGCTCTGGGAAGTGTTCAACTATAAGCGCCCTTAGAGTTGTTCTTTCTTTAGTAACTGTCCCCTGCCTACTTGTGGAATCTCATCCTCTTCAGCCACAGACTCCAGGGAACACCTCTACGGATGTCTGGAGCTCACTCTGCAGTTTTCTCCTCTCTGGTCCTCTGCCCTTTGAGTTTTAGCGACCTCAGCCTTCCTGAACTCTGATCTCTACCTCTTCAGCTCTGTAAAATTGCTGTGTTCTGCTCAGGTTCTTCCTCTCTGCACTGTGGTCTGGTAAACACCTCCAGATGGAAGCCCAGGCAATCATAGGCCTCACCTCCTTGGTCTCCCTTCTCTAGGGATCACAGTTGTGCACTGGCTGTTCTCCAATGCCTGAAAACACTTGTTTCATATGTTTGGTCCAGTTTTCTGGTTGTTTATAGTGGAAGCTAGCAGTTCTTTTTGAGATCTCTCTGAGGTAGTGCACTTGTCATCTGCACTGGTTATATATGCCCTCAAGAAACCTTTTTTTAAAAAATGGACTTATTGCTAATAAAGGTCAACAAAAACTTGATAAAGTTACTTAACGCTACATTCTGATCTGTTTCTTAGAGAAGCACAGGATGAAGACTCATACGCCAGCACCAAGTCAAATTTGGCAATGGGAATCATTAGTGTCCATCAGCTGATGGCTAGATAAATAAAATGTATTATATTCATTCAATGGAGTCTTATTCAGTAATCAAAAGGAATGAGCTACTGATACATGCTACAATATGGATGAATCCTGAAAACATCATTCTAAGGGAAAGAAACCATATGTTATATGATCCCATTTATATGAAATATCAAGAATGGATAATTTTATAGAAACAGAATGTAGATTAGTGGTTGCTCAAGGTTGGAGTTGGAGTTGGGGAGTAACTGCTGGGAACAGGGTTCCTTCTGGGGGAGACAAAAATGTTCTAAAATTAGATTGTGGTGACAGTTGCCCAGCCTTGTGAATATACTTAAAAATATTGAATTGTGTACTTTAAGTGGGTGAATTGTATGGCATGTGAATTATATCTCAATAAAGCTGCTTTTCAAAAAAGAATAATTTTTAGCAATTTTCTCCTGCATGAGGGTAATAAAGGAATGGGAAGAGACTGTGGTGAAGTGGAAGGGAGGTTTCAGCTATGATATTGGTATATGTACATGTCACAAGTAGTATTCATTCTTGGGCTACAAGTGTGACCACAGAAGAGTTTACACGGTTTATTGGGGGGTGACTAATGTTGGATAGTGGTCTTAAAATTCATTTGCTCTTTTTTGGTTACTTTAGTTATAAGAGGATTCTTCAGAGTTTTGGTGTGATCCCTTCCTTCCAGCTTTCTGGATCCTCAGCAGTAGTGAGGATGTGTTGAGTGGCCTCTGAGAGCTGTGACGCCTCCTTTATGTCCTCTGGGTCCTTATTCAGATCCACCAGAATAAGAGCAGCATGTGGTTAAATCCCAGCCAAGAATGGAAGAGTAGGCAAACCCCTTCTGTTGACTTTTCTGTTGTCAAGGATGAAGGTGGTTATGTGTTCATTTTTAAAGCACTGTGAGTTTTCCATGAAAGAAAAATGTATCATACATTTGCAGACTTCTTGCAGGGATCTTCAACAAGTCTAGACCTAAAAGCTTTGCTTTGCTTAAAATACCAACGAATAACATTTATTGAGTGCTTGGTGTGTGCTCCTCCTGTTCTGAGTGCTTTTAAGTATTGTCAACTCCTTGTTGACTGATATTTCTTCCTTTATATAGGGAATGGGAAAAGACTGCATGTTTACCTCCATGCTTTGTTTTTCAGTAATTCAGATATAATTGCCTTCAGATTTTATAGCATTAATCTAGCAACTCAGTAAGTCATCATCCAATTGGACCTAGCCTTTAGCCAGCTAAGCCCCTGGGGCTTCACATACTTGATATCCTCTGTGTTGACTGAGGACAGTGTTCTCATCAGGTGTGGTGTATGTTGTTTTTCTCTAGGATCATCCATGAAGATGGCTTCTCTGGAGAAGATGTGAAACAGTATAAGCCTGTTGTCTACAGCAACACCATCCAGTCCCTGGCAGCCATTGTCCGGGCCATGGACACTTTGGGCATCGAATATGGTGACAAGGAGCGAAAGGTAGGCCCCTGACTCCATGAGCACAACAAAGAGAGGCCTTGTCTCTGTTACCTCACTGCAAGCCACCAACATAAGCCATTGCACCCATCGACCTGGCAAACTTCCAAAGCAAAGTTACCAACAAAGGCAAGAGCCACAGAATTCCAGGGTTTATTTCACAGATGAGGAAGGGTTGACGACAATTCTAAATTGGGCCTGCCACAGCACTGTATTAGCGGCTATCCTTGGGCAATTAACTTGATCAGAAAACATCTTTGTTAAACAAAGCAAGTCTTGCCTGGCCACCATCTCCCCTCCTTAGGAGAACTTTCTTTGCCTTGTAGCGGTTAGGACAGCCATTTGATTTGACTTTCTTTCCTCCTTTACACCAAGGGATGTGTTTTCTGCCTCTCCTGGGTAAGTCTGAGGACCTAAGGGGCTCTCCTTCCTGTAGGAAGTCAATGTGCTACAACAGAGACTGTTTTTTCGGTTGAGTTTCCAGGCATCTGTTAAGTGGTGAATGGAATAAGTACTATATAAAAGCCTCTTATTTGCAAACATTTACATTAACTGTTAAGACTGAACTATATACAGTGACACTGGCAAAGCTAAATAAATGGAGGGTGGGAGAGAGGGAGAAGAGAAAACAGACTCCGAGAATTCTTTCTAGAAGCAGCAATATGTGTCTTGTTGGGACTGTGAATCCCAGGGATCCTCTCTGGGACCTGGAACATGGACAAGGAGAGCAGGGAGAGCTTCCAAGCACCTGGGTCCTGCACTGGAGCCTCTGAATGGAGAACATTAATCTCTGATTACTGGCCAGATTCGGTGGCTCAGCCTGTAATCCCAGCACTTTGGGAGGCTGAGGCAAGTGGATTGCCTGAGGCCGTGGGTTTGAGACCAGCCCAGGCAACTTGGAAAGACCTCATCTCTACAATAAATAAAAGAAATGAGTTGGACGTGGTAGCGCATGCCTGTAGTTCCAGCTACTTGGAAGGCTGAGGCGGAGGGATCATCAGAGCTGGTGTGGCTGTGAGTATGCCACTGCACTCCAGCCTGGGCAACAGAGTGAGACTCCAACTCAAAAAATAAAAATAAAACCTCTGATTACTGTGTGATGTGATTGTACGTTATATATATATGTCCTGTCTTTGCTACAAATCATCTCCCTCACAGAAGAAGATTATCCTGGTCATCTCTGTATCTGATAAATCATCTGTGACAAACAACTTTAAATGTAAAATTTAATATTTTATGCACAAAGTCCTAATTCCATGGGGCAGCATTGTCCTGGCTCAGGCATTGGCTCCTTCAGGTGCTGGGAAATTTGGTGACTGAGAGTGTATCCCAGGTCAGCCTGGGGTGGGGAAGCCGGGTGCTGCCAGGGGTCCTCGACCCATCTGTTGCTCCTCTGGGAGGCTAAGTCATGAAGCTATTTCTACAGAGGAAGCACTTCTCCCCTGGGAGATCGATTTTGGATTGGCTTACAAAGCCAGGGCCTGTGGAAAGAGGGAGAGAATGGAGGGGTACACTCACTGCAGGCTTATAGTGTGCTGTGCATTGTGCTAGATGCTGGAGGTACACGAAAGAGCACAGCAGGGAATAAAGTCCAGTGAACCACTCATTATCAGAACTAGCCCAGATGAACACAGTGTTTAATTCATTAATAATAGTAGCAACCGTGGGAATAAAAATAATTATCATTCGTTGAGTACCTACTCACTGCCAGCCACTGTGCTAAGCTCTTTACACGGAGTATGAAAGCTCAGAGCAGAGAATGCCTGGTCTGATCTTCAGTCATGGCCAAAGCTACAGGCCTTGGTCTCTCTGTCTCCCTTAGGCCAAGGAAGGGAGCATGATGCTTGAATCTTAGCCAGATGTAGGCACTGTGCCAAAGGAACACCCCCCACACACACAAATGCACACACACATGCTCACAGCACACAAGATTTTCCAAGAGTGTGTATGTACACTGCCATGCCTACCTCCCAGCCAATTCTTCCTTCCCAAAGATCTGCTGTCCTAATCATATATAACCTAGGCAAGTCAGTGTGACTTTGGAATGCTTTTCTCCTTCCCTTTTGGAAAACAGTAATTGTTCCCATGGGATTTTTTTTTTCTTCCATTTTATTATCCTGACTAGAGAGATGATTGCTTGGGAATTGCTAGAACTATGAGATATTAAGGACTATATTGCAGGCCCCTGGGAAACAGGGGCCCTTCTCTGGCTGTTTGTCATCTGTGGAATTTCCTGGACAAGTCAGCCCTCAAGTAAGAGGAAAGGGAAGGCTCTAGTGGAGGTGAGACTGAGAGCAAAGTGATGACTCCCTGAAGAGTCCACTGGACACAAAAGAGTCCAAGCCCCATGCTATTATGCCTGATGGCACCATGGCAGGTGCCCAACCCGTCCCCGGGGCAGCATAGGCTCATCAGGCATGATCTTCCTGACTGGCAAAGGCCTCCCAGGCACTCAGACACCCCTCTGTTTGTTCTTACACCTGTGAGGAGCAGGAAAGTAAAGTGGATGCAAGACTCAGGCCTGAGCAAGCTGAACAACTGGAGAAAGTTATGTCCTGGGAGCAGACTAGAGTGGATTTGCAGACTGTGCAGCCGGGAAGAAGTGCTCATCGATTTTCCTCTTGATGAGTGGACACACCAGATCTGAAAGGGCTGCAGCACCTGCTGGCATAGGGAGTCGAGAGCCTTCCCCCTTCCTTGTTCTCAGGGAGCTTCCTTTCTAAAAATGTAGGCAGCAAACATGTGAGCAAGTAGATGACTGCACAATCTCAGTGGTGAGGACAGTGAAGAAAGTAGAACAGGGTGATAGGAGAGACTGATCTGAGGGTGGGGGCAGAAGCTACTTCAGGATGAATAGCCATAGGAGGATGAGGGGGTCAGAAGGTTCCAGATAAGCCCCTCAGGCCCTGAGGGAGGCGTAGAAGATAAAGCTCTGTTCAGCCTGAGCTGCCTGCAGCCACTCAGCTGCTGATACCCAGATACCCTGACCTCAGGACTGGGTCTCCAAGTCTTTTCCTCTCTCGGATCCCTAGCAGTTGCCCACCTAGGGTATCTGCCACTGGATGTGGGGGAACCACGTCATGCAGCACAGACCCAGACTGGTGTTTTGGTCTCTAAATAATAAAGATCTCTTTCCCTCTCTTGCCGTCTTCATCTCTCTTTACCACTCTCCCACCCATCTGGGGCCATCTGGAGGAAGAGAGCTCCACACCCAGCACCTGCTTGGGCCAGCCAGCCTTGCACTGTCCATACAGAAACGCATCTGAAAGGTTCCTTGCTATACCTCAGTCTCAGCCACTAGAATAATTAGCTTCTCCTGGCAGCTGATTCACCACCTGCCCTGGCCTCCAGTGGTTTCTCCCTTGGCCTCTCTGTGGTATGGACTCAGTTGAGGCCACATGATTATGTGTGAGAACAAGCCTGAAAGAGCTTCCACACAGAATAAACAGCAGCTACCTCCTCCCATCGTTCTTTGGTTTCCATCCCCCATTCCCAGCCTCATCAGACGCCCCACACTCTCAAGCCTCTAGGTCTTTGCTCAGATCATGTTCTCTGCCTCTAGCACCTTTCTCTCCTCTTTTCCACTGAACTGCTCCACTCAGTAAGGGTCAGCTAAGCTCCATCATGTTCATGAAACCTTTGTTCCTTCCCCCAGAGAAACTCAGTTTAGTGTTTTTTTCCATAAGCCTTTATCTCATGCACTGGGATATAAATTAACTGATTGTGAGTCTTTCCTTAGAGCAGTGGGCCTTGCATTTTAAGGTGGTCAGAGTCCATTTGAGCAGTTAATGAAAGCTATGAGCCTTCCCTCCAGAACGAGGTACACATGCACACCTCTAGGAAATACTGCATGCAGTGACAGGAGGTTCTGGCCCCTGGAAGCCCACAAGAGCTAGGCTAAGAACCCCTTCATAATTTAAGGTCTTCTGATCAAGGCTTGTGTCATTTATGTTTGGATTACCTCTTCACTCCAGCAACCAGCACAGTGCTTAGTTCTTAGTAGGTCTTCAAAACTCATTCCTTTAACGGAATATTTCTAATTTTCCCAGTTCTTAGAGAAAAAAAAGTGCCTATAACTTCACTGAATGAAGAGATGTTGAATGAGTGTCTATTATGTGTAGGCTTGGTGCTAAGCCTATGTAAAGATTCAAAGGCTTGTGAGTTGGGGCCTTTAAGGAGCTGGCCATCTTCTTGGCAAGGTGGAGCTCACAGGCCAAGTGAGCACAGCCCTTCCGCCAGGTGGTCACAGAAAGCTTCTTAGAGGCAATGAGGCTGGAGCTGTCCTTAAAGCACAGATATGGTTTGACAGGTGCAGGTGAGGGTGAGGAAAGGCACTTGGAGACAGAAAAGAAGGAAGTAAAGGCAGAGGTTGGAATGACTGAGGGAGATTTGATTGGCAGAGGAGGCTAGTGGCCAGAACAGAGGATTCGGATCTGAGCAAGTTGTGAGGCAGTTGGAAGGTACAGTTGGGTCCAGATTGATGGGCCCTGTAAGGCATGCCAAGGAATTTATCCTGTTGGCAGTAGACAGCCATGGCGAGGGACGGGTTGAAGGTGAGATTTTAGGAAATTATGATGGCATATACAGAGTGGACTGGGGGAAGAGAGAGACTTAAGATAGTAAGCTACAGCAGTGGGCCATGAATGAGGTGAGAGGATCTAGCTGAGGGGTCAGAAGGAAAAGGTAGCAAAATGAGGGAAAGAAAGGAACCTGGTGATTGATTAGCTATTGGGCAAAAGGATGAGGATAAAGAAACTGAGACTCCAGGGCTCCACCAGGAGGTGGTGCTAAGCCGGGTCTAATATGGTGATTCTGCTGGAGGGGTCAGCAGCAAATAGATGGATTCACAGAACTAAAGCTCCAGGAATTACTGACTCCAGGATCATAGTGGCTTTCAATTTACTATGTTCCAGGGCCCGTTTTAAACAATTTACATTATTATTTAATAAACATTACTTAATGTTATAATTATTTAATCCTAACAACCACCTGTGCCGTTGTAT